ACGTTTTGATTTACGCATGCGTTTATAACATTTTTAATATATAATGAACAAATAAATTACCTACGTACATTAAAAAAAAAAAATGCTGTATAATTTAATATGGTTTATTGAAATTTCAAGAAATTCTTGTCAATTAGTCAATTTTCAGGAAAAAAAAACTCAAAATCAAAAGTGAGAGTTGWAATTCAAAAAAAATTAATTTTTGACGCGCTACGTGAAATTAAAAAATTATATCATATTCTAGGAATATATTATTTAACTATTAGTTTTATACTTCTATATTTATATACAAAAATGGTTTTTGAAATAAAACCTTAAAAGTTACTATTTGATAAAAGTGTATAAGTGATATCATCAATCTTAATTGAGTCAGTATACAAAGAGTAAAATAAATCTAACTTGGATAAAATCTTGTAGACAATTACCTACTCAAAAATAAAAAAATTATAAGCTACGTATTATTTGTACTATAATGCTACTCTAAACGTGTTCCTAATGCAGTTTAATGACGTAATATTATCATATTTCAAAATTCAGACGTATTTTTTGCGTGTGATTTGATATTTGAACTACGATGTATTCGTTTTCAACTAAGCCTGGCATGCTGTACTGCTGCAGGTTATATTTATATACACGATGTTCCGGTGAATAAATAACGTTATTCAACGAAACAAAATATAAAATACATTTAAAAATGCCATTATAAATCAAAAAACGGTGACATCTCGACGCAATTGTATAATATATATAGTACCTATTCAAGTATAAAATATTAAAACATTTTCAATAACGATAACGCACGCGTAGGTAATCATGATTCATTCCGAAATGCTTTTCGATGGTTCGATCTCTACAAGTACCTATTTCTTTGTAATTTTTTGTTTTGTCTCCGCAAAAATAGCGTTATAATATCATGTATACAATTGATATTATTTATTTCAGAAACGACCTATAAGGTACTGTACGAACTCTATTTTCTATATACGTTTTTCGAGTTTTTATTTTTACGAGTTTCTTATTCTGTCATATTTTGGTTTTCTAATGGAGGCGTCGATTATTGGCCCAGCGTATACCGAATGGTTTTTATAGCTTTTAGGAGCTATTTCTTTCTCTCATGGATTTTTATTTATTATTATTATTTATTTATTTATTATTTTTTTTATTGAAARGTCGCTATATTTAAACGCTTATTATACGAGCGTGTGTCCAACGAAATCGAAATGCCACCATAAATAGTCAGGGGCGAAATGAAAAAAATAAAAGTTAAAACGTGAGGATTGCTAACTTCACTATTTTAACAATAAAATATTCTTTGCATTATACATATCGCACGCCTTTTATACAATAAATATAAACCTACATAATACGTTACATRCATTTATATAGTATGTTTTCATATAATACATATACTGTCCTATACATATATTAAATAATATGATACGTGAGAAAAAATAAATATTTATACCTAAAGTAATTTAAATCATCGGATATTTTGGAATCAATTAAATAAAGGTAACTTCAATAACAATTTAAAATCCATAATTTACTTAGCTGAGGCCCAAAAAAAAAAATATATATATATAAATATGAAATATATATAGAAATATAAAACGATAGAATAATAAAGAAAATTAGTATAATGTAATTTTAMTTCCAATTGACGCGATCACGTATTCTGGCTATATTTGTCATTCTTCTCAAACGGTATAGTTTGTTAGTAATTTGTTTTTATTTTACATCAAAGATATTATATTATGATGTTAATAGGTAAAATATTTTCAAATAATTAATATCATTGAATAAAAAAAAAACGTGGAAATCGCTGTACAGCTGTATACCAAGTGTCAAGAGTACATCGTCATTGGTTGGACGCTAATGGTTGTGTTAAATTTGAATACGATTAACATAGATTCTGAACGGAGATTGTCTGTTATCAACATTTCTAAATATATTTTTATTGCTTCAAATACTTTATTATTTTATTAGTAATATACTAATACGGTAGGTTGAACTGATTTTTGAATAAAAATCGCATGTACCTATTATTATTTCATAACTATCAAAATACTTGTTATTAACTTTTAAAGTGTATTGTAATAATTGTGCGAATAGGTCCGTGGTATGAATAACTATAAACATTTAACTAAATACATTGAAAAATTTGTTATATTTGATAAATTATAATATGTAATGGTGATAAGTTTCATGCCCTTGCAAATAATATTTTTTGAATTAAAAAAAAAAAATACACATATTCACAAAATTACATAATATTATATATATTAAAAATTAATAATTATTTAATAAAATTCAAAATAAATGAAATTTTTAAATCAATAAATTTATAGTTTATTTTATTATGTTACCAGACTACACATTTTTAACTCGTAAATTGTTTCATCAGAGATATAGTCAGCCCATAGGAAAATATGTAATAGTATCTTATTATATTATTTTATTAATGATAMTGAATTTTATGTTGTGATTTAACGAATAATAATCTGTGTTATGTCAAAAATAAAATAATTTGATTACAAAATTATTCCTACTTCACTCAGGCATATTTTATTGATAATTACTGTAATTAATTCCAAAAATACTGATAACAATATTTCACGTGTAATCTATAACCACTTTAATACGTTTTTATTCTACTGCCAAAATAGAAAATAATTTTGTACATTCGAATAGATACACCTACATATTATACTTGTGTAATTATTTTATTTGACTACTAAAGAGTACGAAGCTTCTTGGCTTCGTACCTACCACATAATTATTACAAACAGTATATGTAATAATAATTATATAGCAGTTCTGTCTCCCATTATCCTGCATCATCCTACTTTATCAAAACCTCTTACAGTTAATGTTATATTTACCTTGATGATAATGTAGCGTAGATTAACCGTTTATTACATTTCCTATGGGTAATATCTGAAATTAGGGTAAGATCGATCTTATCCGAATAATGTTGGCTTATTCAAAATCGATGATTACACCAGTGCGTATAACATACACACACAATTAATATTTAAACYTAAGTATGGCAACGCGGTTCTAACCCCTTAAATTTATAKTGTTCCGGCAAGTGACCAATCTAAATATATACATGGCTATGTAATTTGCTACTCAGCGATGGCCGTATTTGTATATAATTATACTATCTAAACGAATATACAACTATAAAGGTACTATAATATAATATTATTATTTTTATTTTCTCCAGTACGGTTATTTTTATAGGTATATTAAATTACACTATCAATGTTTTTAATTAAAAGATAGATAGACAGAACCTATTACACTTTAACCAAAACAAAAAAGCATTCCAATATTCATTGAAAATTATAGTACAGAGTTATAAAGTTTTTGTATTTTAAAATTTCTAATATCACGATGAATTCTTATTGCTATAATAAATTGGTTTATGGCGTGAAGTATAGGTAATAATATAATAGGCACCAAAAGGAAAGAATTTGCTTACTTAATATTCATTTCATTGTGACACTCGACACTCGGGACTGGTAATGATTTATTAATAATATTTTATAAATTGACAAAGAGAAAAATACAGTTGTAATTGCTAAAAAAAAGCAATTCGTCTGTTCGGAAAGTACATTTCTATCATTTAAGTACCTACCTATTGGTATTATGTCCTACATTATCGCCATGTGAAAAATTATTGGTCGTATTCATTTTAAAACAYTACACTATAAGTATATMTTTTATACATGTATATTAATATTTTTCCTTGTTCCCAAACTATTATCTATTCAACATTATCAACGGCGTAATAGTTAATGGTTTATTTTTTTTTTATGTATGTAACACATTTTTTCTTTATTATTATAAAAAAATACCTCAAAAGAATAGAAAAGCTTATATTGTGTTCGCCATTACACAAATTGCATTTCGCTCATTATTTCAACGGAGAGTATAAAATCTGACTAGTTTTATTGAAATAAAATATAATAATTTTAGATTGTTGTAAATTAATAGCATAAGTATAAGAAGGAGAAAATAAGAAGAAAAGTGAAGCCATTCTTATTATATGCGCTGTAGAATCCTTGATGCTGTCCATGTATTTTTTCCTCGGAAATTGTTTTGTTTGAACCAGAATCTACCATARTTGTCGATCTGTAATAATTAAATTTGCTTGTGCGAGAAGAAAAGCTTAATGAACAGAGGGAAATCTCGTTTTGAAACAGTTGGTTTGATGATACATAAAATATGAACGCACGGGTGGATTATAATCGAGTACAGCAATTCCTTGACGTCATCTCCAATTAAAATAGATCAACCCTTAAAATATTATTTATTACTCGAAATTACCGTTGACACAACTGTTTTTTTCTATCTTTAAAATCTATTATAATATTTCTGCAATTTTTTTAAAATTTATATTTATTTTATTTTATTATTGAGGTATCAAATGTCAATGTCTTAATATTTATTTAATAATAACTGATTTAAAGTACAGCCTATGGTTTTAAAGACACCTTTGACCTTACTAAGTGACTTACTAAGGGCCTAGCCATATTATGCGTTTTGGCGCATCTTAGGTGCCACATTAGGCGTATAATTCTGAATCAAAGTTTTTGGAATTAAAATAATTTAGACTGCAGACAAAATTTAAATAACCCCTAATGAGCTACTTATTCCAAATAAACACTTTTTTGCTTATAGTTTGTAATTTAAGTATTTCATAAAATGATTAACTATTCAAAAATTAATTGTATGCAATTTTTTTTCATATTATTTAAGTTATCTGACTTTGTTGCAAAAGCGGTTTTTTTGGTTTATTCATATAAGATTTGCTTCTTCATAAATTATAGATGTTTGAAAGTGTCCTAGTTACTTAAAAGTATGATGATCGTATAAATCTTAATGATACTTTTTTTTTATTGAACGAAAATAAACATTGACAACACAGACCATTAGTTTTAATGATAATTTTTACAGTACTAATTTTGTGAAAAAAAATGAGTTTTAGGAAATATAATTGGTACAATATGATATTTAATATTCTCACTATATAACATTAACTGCAATTGCATTTTATTAACATTTATTACAATACTCATTAGGAATCAAGTTCTCTCGTTTGACTTTAAAGTATATTTTATAAAGGTTGGTAGGTAATTTTATTCAGAATTATCATTTGATGGTTATTCGTTTTCTTCRTCATCATCGCATCCCAATTTTTTCTTTATGATATCAGAAGCTTTCTCTGCGACCATAATGGTCGGAGCACAACTTTCAGCACTGAACATTATTGGAAGTGCAGAAGAATCCACGACCATCAAGCCGTCGGTATCAAAGACCCCAAGGTCTTCGTCAACAACGCCTTTTGAAGGTTCTGTTGCCATGGAGCATGTACCAGTCATCTGAATATTCATTATCGTTAATTGTTTGATGGCATATTTCCAATATTCATCACTGTCCACATTCGGCTCTGGGCCACCCTCGAATTTTAAAGGTACGATTTGTGGTCCATATTGTTTAAACGCTTCTGATTGTACAAGCTTTTTTACCCATTGAATAGCTTTCAATAGAGTTTCAACATCTTCGTTGTCCAAAGAGCCAAATTCTGTAATTGGTTCATATTCGTCACCACCACAAGTCTTATTTATAGTCACTTTACCAGTATTTTTCGGACGAAGCAGTGAAATACCGATAATTTTAACATCGTTTTCATCATTAATGTCGATTATCTGGTCCGTAATGTTATCGTTAAAGTTAAAAGCGTCCAATTGCGAAGGCATGAATATAGTATCATCCTGAGAGTAATAGTAAAAGAATATTTGAATATCYGGAATACCATTACCATCGATATCTATAAAACCGGTAAAACTGCACATCCCTATTGTGGCTAATGGTCCAGTATGCTTCATTATGTATTCAAAGACCATTTCACTGATAGAATATGACTTAATCGGCGGTATTTCAAATTTAACAACTATACCTAAGAAATTTGGATGCGCTTGTAAATTCAAACCGACATTATTATTCTCCACGACCACGGGAATACCCAATGTATCGAGTAAAGCCTTTGGGCCAACACCTGACTGCAAGAGTAGTTTTGGAGATCCTATCGGACCAGCACTCATTATAACGCAATCCTTGCTTTTAACTTGAATTAGTTCTCCAACTGAATTTTCAAACTCTACGCCTACAGCTTTTTTGCCTTCAAATATTACTCTTTTGACTAAAGACCTGGCTGATATTTTTAGGTTATACTTTCTGTTAGCATTTTTCAAAAAGGCTTTCGCTGCGTTGACACGGAAACCATCTTTAACGATAGCGACAGATGAAGCGAAACCTTTGTGGTTCTTCACAGATAAAAAGTCTAATGTATTATAATTTAACGAATTTAACGCCTTAGAATAGACTTCTCTGATTTTAACAGTTCTTGTGTTACGGAAGGAATCTACAGACATTTTACCACCAACACTATGTGATTTACTCACGGTTTCGTGTTTGGTGATTACCTCGAACTTACAGTCTTCAGATCGTTTATAGTATTTCAAAACATCTTCCCAACTCCATTTGGTTAAACCTGCCGATTCAAATTTAGTATAATCTGATTCAATACCTCGATCATACAACATTGTATTTAATGCCGTAGTTCCTCCTAAGCATTTTCCTCGAATAATATTGACACGTTTGTTTTCTAAGCCCTGGCCAAATGTATCATCTTCTTGTGCGGTATATTTCCAATCCATCTCAGAACGAATCGAACTGGCCCATAATCCGGGTATCTCAGATTTCATAAGTGGCGTACCTCCGGCCTCCAATACCAAAACATTCAAGTCCTTTTCGTTACTAAGTTTAGCTGCCAAAACCGATCCTGCAGCCCCACAACCCACTATGATAATATCAAACTCGTCATTGTTCTTGATAGACAAACTGTAATCTCTGGGATAACTGATTTTAGAAGCCATATTGCGTTGTTCACGGTTTAATGAATTAAGGAGTTTCAAAAATTCTGGTATGACGTATAAGCCTTCTACGTTATAACCATTTTTATGACACATCTCCAATGTATTTATACTCAATGCTTTTTCATCTTTTAAATCTGACCAGCATTTCTTCTTGAAAGTTGTGGATTTTTTTTCAATCACCACAGAACGAGTGGTTGTAACACTGTGAACCGCATTTTTTTCCGATGCTTCTTTTTTATCGAATGGTAAGTTAATAAACGAATCGACTCCAGTTTCCAAGCTTAAATAAAATAAATAATAAATATTACATATTTTAAAGAATTGAATATTTTAATGTTTTTAGTTATTTATTATTGTATTATACAGGTTATATTATTGAAATTAAATATGTAAAAGTATTTGCAATTCGAAATTTATATATAATTTAAATATTAATGATATTACATAATATAATAATTACATATACAATAAAATAAAATATATGAGAAACAATGTACCTATTTAGCCAATGCCTTATTGTGGGGTTAGGAGATTTAAAAAAAAAATTAGCTTATAATATGATATTGTGAGTAATATGATTTAAAATTGTGTGCTTATGCATATAAATATATGTGTGTGTATATTGTGTGTGTGTATATATATATATATATATATATATATATATACGTACGTATGTCAACCTTTTGAATAATAGATTCATGAACATGAAATTCTCAAATGTGTGTAAGTGTAAGTTAGTAGTGTATATTAAAATAAGTCTTAAAATAATTAATTAGAAAACTTAATTTTGTTTATTMTTTTAAAATAGCGTATGTAATCTAAGAACTTAATTACATAATAATTACCACAACAAGTTCAAGAAGGTACAATAATAAATAAATATTGCAAATGTTGGTTTATTTATTTTAATCATACTTAGTACCTAAATATTCATTTCTCCTAAACATTCATAACGATATACCTACTCTGCTAAAAAAAAATATATATATATATTCAAGATCATATAAATACAAACTCTAACTGCAACCAACCAATRTGTCTGGCTTAACCGATATTCAATACTTTAAAAAAACTGAGCTTTAATTTTTCTTAGAAAATGAAAATTGTATAAAAATATAAAACTATATTTTCCAGGGCGTATAAKATGGTCCTTATGTATGTTTTTCAATGGTAAATGCACCTAAATTAAATAACTATACTCATCAACAATAATAATATAAAATCGTAAATCTTTGTGTTTGTTAAAAACGAAACGTTATTCATAAACCTTTAAATAAATATGTATTTTATTTAAAAAAAAAATTATTAGAATGATAGTAAAAATCAAATTCAAATTATTTAAAGTATCATTATCACATATATAGTAACACAATGATATAATTATTTATGTATCACTTTTTTCTGCAATTGTTTTAAAAAATATACTTTTAATAAATTAATAATATCAAACAGATGCACAACAAAGTATAATTTTATGATGCCTATAATAATATTATATACTTACAAGACTGCAAGCAGTCCGATTAAGAGCCACAACGTTCTGAATGTGTCCATGGTAATTTGTTTGGTGTTCTAAATGGAACAAATTTTGCAGCTTATATATTGCCGAGTTTTATTTGTTTAAAACTATTGTTATAAAATGGTCAACATTGATATGAACAAAAGGATTTATTATTTTTTTCCGGAAAATTTCACATAAATCATTATGATACGTTTTAATGTATACACATATGACTGACATACATTCATTAGTTCATTTTATTGAAAATGATTATTTATTATATTTTATCGTATAAATCATTGGTCTTGAAATATTGGACATCATTTAAAACCTTTTATGAAACTTTATACTGCACTTAGCAACATTTCATGGTTGAAATATCATAACTTATATTCATATAATATTTATATATTATTTTTATATAAATAACATTCATCTTCTGCTAGTTCTGTTGAAATTGATATGCATACGATTTTTAATCAATCAATTTAGCCTATATTTTGTGGGAAATGTCTGATGAAACAAAAACAATTCAGAAAAAATCTTACAAGCTACAACCATTAAGTTTCTTAAAAATTATTTTAAAATTAAAAATTAAAATTAATTATTTATTATAAAATCTAAACAATTAATTTTTACCGTATTACYTCATTAAAATAAAATATTATATTATATCCCAGAGTAATAATCAAGACATACCGAATTGTTTAAAAAATTTAAATACATTCTTAGTTTTGTGTTAGTTAAAAGCTCCCTTCGAATGTTGAGCATTTTGGGTAGTGGTAAATTATGTATTTGATTATATTTGATTTTTGCATGTGTCACAAGATGATCTGGATGCMATGCAGATCAGGTAGGATTAAGTAAGAAGGGGAGTGTCTTATTCTACATGTATTTGAAATAATTTATTCTATCCTATTCAAGTGGTCTGAATATAAACCCATCTGACAATTGTTTTTTTTTTTTTTTTTTAATGTCCTTATCCCAAATATCTTTATGTTCTCAGTTCCTATGATTTTGCAATATTTATATGATTATTATTGTAATTCAACATCATGTATTGTATTCAGAGGTGGCCTAATAATTTTTTAATTGGGAGAGGTGGTATGGCTGATTTTAACATTAGCTATTTAATYATTGAAAATATAATTTATGGTTATTATAAMTTGAACATTGAAAAAAGGTCATGTGTGAACTATTCCCCTTACTATTTTCTGTTTTACCACCACTGATCTTATTSATGTTTGATGTTTATAGCAATGCGTAATCATAATAATTTTGTTATATAATTAAGTTATAAAATTATTCAATACCCGTGTACTTAATCTTTTTGTATTTCATTGCTTAAGTACAGAATAACTGAATAACTGTACCTAGTTCAAATGTACGCATCATTAGCAATGCATACAAATATGAAGTTATAATTTTGCATTACATACTTATGCATTTTATATAAAATTATTGGATCACTTTTTGTTATAATGGTTATTGGTTAAATGCTTCATAATATTGAAACTTGAAAGTATAAATTTGTTTTAAAACATCATATACATTTTCCATGACATAATTTAGTAAAATTGTTTGAAATAATTTAACAACCTCGTGAAATTGCCAAAAAAGTCATAGTTTACAAGTAAATAAATAATAATAATTTTTAGCGGAAACTTTAAAAACTTTAAATAACTTTTGTTGACTTCATAATGCATAAAAACTCATTTTAAAATTAATTTCAGAAAATATTAATTTATAATAGTACGTAACGTATACATCAGATGTTAAAATATGCATGCAATAAGAATAAACTAATATTTTCTTAAATTTTCGTTCACAAATATAGGTAAATTATTTTTAAGTTTATTTTTAAGGCTTTGTAACTATATATAAGAGTGTAGTATTATATTTTTATTTTGTTGTCATGTATGATATTATCAACACCTACTTAAAACAAAATAATAATGATAACAATTCATTGACCAAGATTATAAAACAAATATTCGTTGTTGTACAACAAATTAATATTTTATAATGTTTACGTACAATAATTGTATGAAAAATTATTTATCATGGACAACCATCACAACCACATGATCAGTATAGTTTTGTGTGTCTACTGTTTTTTTACTGTCCTTTGATTATCATTCGACTAACGCATACGTATACAACAATTCACTCATCTGTACAAATAACGATACAGTTCAATCAAAATTTTGACAGAGATTAATGAGCGTCTGTATATTATATGGTTTTGACAACTCGTTCATGTTTTAAAAGTAATATCTGTACATTCGCACAATCTTGTCCATTACGCGATTATCCGATAAATAAACGACGAGAATACTTATCAGTACTTTTTTCTTTTGAGTAATAAAATCTAACGTTTTACATAATATTTTATGGTTTCCTCTATTAACAAAATCGTAACGACCTATATAGGTAATGATGTTAATGCTTTTTTTAATAGTCTCATTTAAACGTTCTTTGCTTTTTTATTTTATTCATGTTCTTACATTTATTAATCAATAATATGAATAATACTGTATACAGAATAGCATACATCGTCGTCATTTTTATATTTGAAAAACATCGATAGACGACTGTGATATTTTACAAACGAGACAGAAAAAAAAATGGGAAAATCACCACATCCACTCCACTTCCCAGTACTATTCGGTATCCACGTTTTATTGGATCCATATGAACACTTCCATTTCAAAAATAATATTTTAGATACCGCCTTGTGGATTATATTATACCAGATATACCTACACATAAATAAAACTAAGTGATGRTGGAAAAATTTGCCAAAATTGTTACTTTTACAATATCGGACGTCCATGAGTTACTGAGACAAAATAAACAATTTTTCATGCATGATGAATTAGTAATTATCSGTAGAATGTACTAGGATTACTCCATTATAGAGGCTAATTTACAAATAAAAGTACCAAGTGGGTGCATGATGGACGTGGAAAACCTCATTACAAAGGTAGGTATTTTGTTATGTAATATGATGTACCTATATAATATTACTGGTTTCTACACTTACCAACTATATTATAGATATTATTAGGTATATGTTCATTTTWTTTTTTAAATTATATAACGCACTTTTAARTCCATTTTTCTATTTTACCTATATTTTCCAATCATTCATCAACTCGGTGATTTTAATTATGAATGTATTATATGAAAAAAATAAAAATATGACATAAGATGAAGTGTACGTGGCTATCTTATATGCGAAATTACACTGATTATTGAGTAAAATGTAAACTGTAGCGTCTTCTATATAGATAAATCATAATGTTTGGTCACCAAAAGCTTATTGTTTGATATAATGAATATTTTTGTGATAATATCATATTGTTTTTATAAAATTTTGAGGTACGAAGAAATTACAATGTTTTTCTCATAAGTAGAAACTTACTATAATAATACGCCTACTGTTCTATTCGTATTGCATCATATTCATTAGACAATATTTTGAAAAAAAAATATAAACTAATAATATAGCGTGGATATGTACATACTTGCATATTTGATCTAGTAGATCATATATATTATATATTTTTATATTTGTATTATATATTAAGTAGTCAAAAAAATTGTTGAGTACCATACCAACATAAAAATCAAGAACATGGAAGTTTTTTTTTATGCATATTATTCTATATTGTACCTATATATGCTTCAAGATTAGAAATGACGATTTTTAAGAACTTATATATTTTACCATGATATATAATTTCATACTTGATATATACTTCAAGAGTTTTAGAAAAATATTKAAAATAATAATTATTATAAAAAAATAAAATATTATTTGAATTTTGGCTTTATATTTTTTTAAATAAATAGAAATTTATTTATTGATTTCTCGGTTATAGTCTGCAGTTATGATAACAATTTAATAGTATTTATATATCTGTACAAATATAGTATACCTACACTCCAAGATATACTAAAATATATAATCAAATCTCGATTTTATTAGTTATGATTTAGAAGATAATCAAAAAATTAACTTTTTTTAAAATTTTACATTATTTAATGGATATTTGAATTAAAATTTTTAATTAAAGGAAAAAGTTAAAAATAATATTTATAAAGTTTTAATTTTAATATTTATTTTATTGGGGTGATAAAAAAATTTAATTAACTTTTTTTAAAATTTAGTCCAAAAGTATTAAATAAATTTAAACTCTAATATCAACTTGAAAGCGACGATTTTAAGTTTTCGTTAATATGGAATATTATTGTGCTATTATACTGTTCGTTAGATAGACGGTGGTGTTATGTATACGGGTAACATACTATCATGCGTCTTATTAAAAGTGCACGGTCATCATTATACTCCAAGTTAAACCTGGATGTTTACACACTGGATGTCTGTGCCATAAAACCGGACGTTTCAATCTCTAATTTATTTTCTACTCAGTTCAATAAACGTTATCTAACGGTAAGTAGTACATTTTTACGCCGGACGAAATCATATCATATAAGGTCCATTTTATTCCATATATATATATATATATGTATATCTGTGATATGCATACTCGATAATTTATAGGCACATTCACATAATATAATATAATACAGGCGTATAATATAATAGTGCAATGTCAATAATCGGGCACCGCGAAGGAAATATATGAGTGTCAGCGATTCTAAACTGTTATTACAATTGTTGTAGYGTTGCATACATTGTGTATATTATTATGTTTAAACCATTCGGGTGCAGGGCCACGCTCACAATGAATTATAAAAATAATCCTGGAAAGTATAGTAATAATATTGAAATAATAATACGCCGGAAACGTGCATTATACAGTATCGCAATTTATTATCTACTATATTGAAATAATATTAAATTTGATCGGCGACGAGGCTTTCGATTGGGGTTAAAACCTTATAATTATAACAGCTATAATTTCAATGTCGTACGAATATAATGTAATATACTATATACATATAAGTTGAATATGTATGGAATCATGTTATCCGCGTATAATATGAAATTGAATATTTTGTACAAAGCTATTTCCTGAYTTTGAGTGTTTGCAATAATAATA